ATTCTCAAGGAATTCACTGGCAATCCTGGTCCAAACTGTCTCTCCCCAAGGCTTGTGGTGGGTTGGGCTTCCAGGATATCATGAACTTCAACAAAGCTCTTATTTGCAAACAGCTCTGGAGGGTGCATACTCAGCCTCACTTATTGATGAGCAGAATTCTCAAAGATAGGTACTTTTCTAATTGCTCTATATTTGAAGCAAGTAAACCTTCTAATTGCTCTTGGCTTTGGTCTACCTGGCTGGATGTGCTTCCTCTATTTTCTAAAGGCTTTGCGGTTGAGGTCAGATCTGGTGCTAATACTATGCTGTCTGATGTAAATTGGGTGCCTAAATTGAATAAACTCAGACCTGATCTTCTTGATTTGGCCAGGGGTCACATAACATGGGTCAAAGAATTGCTTAATGCCTCAGGCACTGGTTGGAACTCATGGTTGGTTTCTCAGCTTTTCAATGCTGATGATTGTAAGGCTATTCTTAACATCTCAACTTTGAAACCTGGAGCACCTGACAGATTTTACTGGTCCTTTGACAAGAAAGGAGTGTTCTCTGTTTCAAGCACTTATGCTTATCTTACTGCTCAGAAACTTCTTTCCCTGGACTTACCTTGTAGCAGCTCTTCTTCTTTTGGAACAAATGCTGGATTTAATCGATGTTGGAAGCTCAAAGTTGCTGGAAAAATCCAGCATTTCATATGGAAATGTCTGTCTAGAACTCTGCCAGTGAAGGAGAACCTTAAGAAACGAGGGATGGATATGGATATTATTTGTGAGAAATGTGGCAAGAGCTCAGAATCATTGGAGCATGTGCTGTTTCATTGTCCAGCAGCTAGAAGAACATGGGATCTGTCACCAGTGTCATGGGATGGCCTCAACTCTTTCACTAACTCTTTCTCAACCTGGTGGTCTCATATTAGCTCTCTCAACAAGTCAGTTATTGCCGAAGCCCGGATACAACTCACTACGTATATGCTATGGTGGCTTTGGAAATCCAGAAATCTCTGGATTTTTCAAAAAATTTCTCTGCCCCCCCACCTGATTGTCAATTTAGCCCACAAGGACTGGCTGGACTTCTCCTTTGCCAATTTGTAGTCTCTCTTTTGGGTTGGATGTTTGTTTTCCTTGTTCATAGCTTTTTATTGTTGTTTGGTTCCTTTTGGTGGTTTGTTGTGTTATTTCCATCTAGGCTTCGGCAGTGGATGGTTTTCTAGTTCTTGGTGTTTTTGTTGAGGTTCTAGGCCGCATTGTTGCGTGTCCTTTCAGTTTTCTGTTTTCAGTTATTGTGGATTGTATTCGAACAGTTTTCGTTTGGTTATATATATCTCTATCGTTCCGGAAAAAAAAAAAAAAATTCAATAGCTAATTGAAGGAAATAAATCAAAAGTCAGGGATATATTAGTCACTTAGTGTCTCACTATGTAAAATTATAAAGAATTAAAGGGTTATATTAGTACAAGTGATTTTAAAATACCTAAGTTAGCTAATAATATTTATGGAATGTCCGAACCTAGATTATTAATTATTAATATATCAATATTATTTGTCCAAACCTAATTACGAAACATAATTCTTCGCCAAGTAGGATTCCGAAGCACCAGAACCAGCCACGTAGGCTCAACGCATTCGGGAATTCTATATAGAGGGGATATATTTGCATATGCAATTATGCTAACATAATTAATTAGGCAAAATCTCAATTTTAGTCCACTATGTTGGTCATTTTCCAAAAAACATTCATTGTGTAAGGTGTCTTGAAAAAAAGGTTCACAATGTTGTTACTTTAATCAAATTTCGTACAATTTTCGGGATGAGTTGATAAAATGCTGAGGTAGACGGATTAATTTATGACGTGGGAGGATTAATTTGTGACGCGGATAGATGAAGACTTTTTTGAAAATTATAAATTTATCCCAGACTTTAGTTGCAACTAACTAATATTTATGAAATACAAAATAATCCCTAAAACTTATCAAATTTTCAAAACCAAGCTTCTTGCAATCCAAAACCTATTCCACCATTGTCTTCACCAATCTGGCTCCGTCACACGACCTCCTTTCGGCCGCGGATTCCCAGAACCTTGTGAACTCGACGACGACCTGCAAGGGACACTAAACATCGTGAGGTCCTTCAAGGAAAAATTGAATTTCGTGCAGAGGCCAATTACGAGAACAAATACAGTTTAGGGATTCCGGATGGTGGCCGGACAGAGCCGTTAACGGAGCACGAACTTAGATCGAGCACATGGAGTCCGTCGAGCTGCAGATCGATCAACTCGGGGATCGGCCCGAAAGCTCAAAATTCGAGGCGTTGAACGAAGTCAAAGGGTCAGGTTTTGGAGGGCGTCGACTAAGAACCAAGTGTTATGTCTCGTCTGCCTAAACCTGGAGATGTTGATTCCGATGACCCTGTCGCCGGCGCACCAGACCAATCTGCGATGCGCACGAGCCCGATCTAATGGGCCATTCCTTGGCCTATAACCCTAACAATGATCTCAACTGGAACAAAGAAAGACGCTCTTGACTGGAAATCAAAATTCGCTGCTCTAGACTCTAGTGAACAACCTAACATAAGGAAGAACAAAAGCTGAAGATATGAAAAGAACGCTTCTCCTTCGCTCCGCCATTTTCTTTGCTCAAACTTCATCGAGTTTCATTCACGGGGAACCAAACGGCAGTTTTTTTTTTAATCTTAAAATTAAAATAATTTAAGGAACAAATTAGGTGGAAAAAATGTAAGTGTCCATCTCAACGAATTTAAGGGAACTTACTATCCACATATGAATTTGACCTCACATGTAAGAATTTGACCTGCCACGTAAGAATTTAATTCGTCCACGCCAGCATTTTAACAATACATCTCAGAAATTGTACGAAACTTGATTAAAATGGCAACTTCGTGGACCTTTTTTGAACATGCCATACATGATGAACGTTTTTCGAAAATAGCCAACATAGTGAACTGATTAAACAATGAGGGTAGTTAAGTAATTAATTAAATCTTTTATTAATTAATAATTAGCTAATTAATGTTGGTTCACATCACTTTCAAATCATCATTTTTAAATGGTTTTGACGTAACAGAAATCCATTTATATCCATCCAGCTAGCTAGCTTTTCTCAATTTATGCGTGTCATCCTTTGCGCAGGGACCATTCTGATCTTCTCTGTATCGTTCTAATTTTATCGGATGTCCCCGAAGGCCCGAAGGGACCATGCCAATCCATCTAGCTAGCTAGCTTGAAATAATAGTTAATTCAATGCAGACTTATTAATTACAATGCAGACTTAATTACACTATAGAATAATTTCTGAAATGTCACACGTTTTTTCAAACAAGTCAAAATTTTAAGAAGCCAGCACATACAAAATTGTGCCTTTATTATTTATATATGCCTCAAGCTGAGGGACATGTCCAAAATTATGTAGTCTCTTAATTTACCGACCAAAAAGATAACCTGTACTAATAATTTATATATATCTTTTCTAAATAATAGATATATATTTGCAT